ATTATATATATATATATATAAATTATAATATTATATTTATTTATTTTTATATAAAAAATATCTTCTTAAAATTATAATATATTAATTAAATAATTTATATTTTTATATAATAATTAATATTTTTTGATATAATATCTTTATTATTTTAATTTTTATGTTTTTATATATAAAAATTATTTTTATTTTTCATATATATATATAAAATTTTTAATAATAATTAATATAAACATTTTTTTTATTATAAATTATTATTTATTATTTAATTTAAATTATAACGTAATATATCTAAAAATTAAATATTTTATACTCAATCATAAATCATTTTTAATATTATTTAAATTAAATACAATTTGTATTATTTTTATTTATTATAAAATAAAAAATGACAATTTTATTTAATTTCTTAAAAAATCTACTATTAATATAAATGTTACTTTAAATAATTAAATACTTATTATTTTTTAAGAATACAATAATTTATTATAAATTATTAGAAAAGTTTTAATACTACTTAACCTTCTTAATATATCTATTATGTTTTTTTTTATAATGTGAATTTAAATATTATATTATTTAATTTTTTTAATTTATTTTAGTTATCAAATTATAGGTTAATAACTCCAAATTTCAGTAGTTTAATATTCACTTATCATGTACAGGATTAATTTATTTTATTCCCAAATCAATCTATGATAACATTCTATAGAAGAATTACTTATTAAAAAACCTGCAATGCAGTCACTTACATTTGTATGTAAATTAAAAATAACACTATTTTTATCATCTATTATTTATAATTTTCCATCATTTTAAAGAATTAAAAAGCAGTCTTTTTTAGTCGGAGAATCTATAGTTAATGCTTCAGGAATATTATTATATAATATAACTAATTGACAATTCGATTGTACTTTAAGTGATAATTTGTTGTTATTTATGTTGTTATATAGTTTTCCGAATTCCAATTTTGGTTATCCATATTCATGTAACCCAGAAACATTTACTCGATAAAAAAATTTTTAAAAATCAAAGCAATATGATGTGTAAAAATATATAATAAATAAGATAAATTTATTCATTTAAATTTTAAAAACTAAATAAATATAAAAATGATTAATTATACTAAATATAAATATAATATTTAAACATTTAATATATAAAATATATATATATGAAATTATAAAATATATATTAATAAATTAAATATAATATTAAATGTTTTTAGTTCAAATAATTAATATATTAAATTTTTTATTTATATTTTTTTGTATTGATTATTATCATATATATAATACTTTTTATTTCATATTAAGATTTTTTAGTTTTAAATAAGATAAAATAAATGAAAATATAAATAAATATATATATAAATATATATATAAATATATTTATGCATATATTTATTTATATATATTTATATATATATAATCAATCAGTCATAATCATCATCTTCATTCAAAATTTTTTTTAATTTTTTAATCAATTATTGGGAGATATTTATTCATAGAAATTCTAAAACATCTTTCTATTTCTCCTTTTTTAAACTTTACATCTTTATTATATTTTTAAGAAACTCTAGGTGAAACTAAATTAGATTTAATTATATTTTTTACAAAATTTTAGTTTTTTATGAAATTTTCATTCGACAATAAAGAATTTATTCGACATCTTTAGTTTATTTTTATTGAGTTTTCATGTTTTGATTTACGTTAGTCTTTTGTGGTATTTTATTGTGTTATTTCTTCACTTTTTTTAGTGTTTTTTGGGTAGATTTTATTTAAATTTACTTTTAAATTAACTAAAAATGGAGAATTTATATTTATATTTTAGAATTTTGTTATTTATCTGTCATTTTTTTTATTTTCTATTTCCATTTTTCTTTATAAAAATATGTTTTCTTCTTCTGCCTTTAATTTTTCTAAAAATTCTTAGTATTTTTATTTAAAATTTATTTAATTTATCTCCTTTTTTAGTTTTTATTAATTGTTTTTGTTTTAAATTAATCAATATTTTCCATTAGAGTTATATTATATTTTCTTTATAAATAGTTGCATTAAATTTACTATTTTTCCTCTTTTTTTATTTAAATAAATTCAAAAACTCTTTCTAGTTCTTTTAATTTTTCATTTACAAAATCATATGGAAAATTCCAAATTTTATCTACATCTAATTCATTTATATGTATCTATTTAAAATAATAAGAGTAAATAATAATATAAAAAATAATATCAATAAATCTATATATAAATATATATATATATATATATATATATATTATTTATTTATTTATTATACTCTAGTATATAATTCACATTAAAATGACCAAATTTTAACTGTTTAATCATGAGAACATGTAAAAAACAATTAGCTTATATAATTTTTATAATTTTATTTATAATATCATTATGAGCTGCGTTTATTTTTCTTATTATTATATTATGGGAAGATATATATTATATAGTATTTGTTTCAAATCTAAACTTATTTTCTAATTATTTTTAAACGTTTATTAATTATTTTCTTCTCAATTAATATAAATTTCTTTTTTTTTAATCAATGTTATAACTTTATGTATTATTTTTTTATATTAAAATATCATGTATATTCCATAAATATATGTTTCCTTTATTATCTCCTATATTTAAAATATGATTTTTTTTTAAAATAATAAAATATAAATATATATTTATATAAATATATATATTATATTTATATATTATTTTTATTAATTCATTTATATATAATTATTTTAAATATATATTACCTGAAAAAAAAATTTCTATGTTTTTTTTTATTAAAATCTATAAATATGTCCATTCCTGAATGAATTATATATTCTTCTTAGAATCCTATAATTTATTTATTTTTATAGAACCATAAAAAGCATCTTTTTTCTATATCAGATATAAAAATGACATTAAAATCTTCTAAAAACTGCATATATGTTATTTCAAAAGTATTTTAGTATACACTTTCTAGTTTTCCATTCTCTAAAGACCATATACATAAAATACCATTTTAGGAAGAACTACATAAAAGGAAATTTTTCAATTAAAAAGATAGAAAATTTATTTCTGAATTCTAATGACCACCTGAAAGTACATTTAATAAAGATGAATTTTCCTATTCGCAATTTTCATCATATATTCTAATGGTAGAGTCTTTAAAAGAAGCAATTATGAGATTTTCTTAGGAAACATATAATATATTTGTAATTTCATTATTTTCGTTTTTATTAATATGTTAAGATTTAAATTAAAATTCACTCTAAAATTGTAATTCTTTCAAATGATTAATATTTTTTAATAAAAAACAATTTTATGCATTAAATTATTATATTATTCCTAAAGAATTTCCTACTAAAAGTTTTCTTTAATTTGATGTAAGAAAAAACAATTTAAATCATAATTAAAATTCGAAAAAATCTTTATTAATTTTCCATTTAAAGCATCATATACTCTTATATCAATCCTATATAATAAAAATATAAAATAAATATATTAATATTGGAAAGTAAATAAAATATAAATAAAAAATAAAAATAAATATATATATATAAATAAATATATAAATATAAATATAAATGGTATATATATATATATATATATATATATATTTAACTTGTAAGTATTAAAATAGTATTAAAATAAACATTAAAATCTATATCTATTGGATATATATATTCCATATTATTATTTTTTTTAATTATTTTTCTTTCTAGAAATATTAATTTTTTTCCTCCAATAAATATTCTATCTTATTTTTAGTAATAAAATATACTTTTAATGTCTATTTTTTATAAATTATCTATATTTTAAATTAATTACATTTTTTTTATGTTCCATATTTTAATATTATTATCCTAATCTAATGAAATTCCGTTAAATGTATTCCCTAAAAAAGAACAAAAAATTACTAAATTATTATGTCCCCTTAGTTTTCCTAATAAAGGAATTTTGCCACTAATTTCTGGATTCCAAATGTTCACATAGTGACTAAATCCACAAGAAATTAATGTCTAATTCTGGTTAGAAATTTTCAAAACTCCTCTTTTGCATTCTATTTCGCGTATTAAAGTTCCATTTTGTATACTCCAAATCTTAATTGTACAATCTAGGGAACTAGAAGCCACTAATTCGCTTTAAAAAGAGAGTTCTTCGACACATGTTATTATGTTTTTGTGGATTTTTAATATCATTTAGCATTGAAAAGTACTATTATAAATATATAAATTAAATTCTTCGTCAGAAATAGCCCAGGAATTATGGTTTTTTAAAAACCATATTTTTTTGGTAGACTTGTTAAGTATATTTCTTAAAGAAGCTTAAAATTTTCATAAAAAGATATTTTTTTTTTGATGATAAAATTGCTAAAATTTAAGAATTTAATGAAATTGAAAAATCGATAATAATTTTTTCTTAAAAATCAATTTTTTTTACAAATTCTATTTTATTATAATCTTTTAAACAAAATACACTTATATTAGAAGTCTAATGTTCTAATAATAATAATAAATCTTCATTTTATATTGATATTTTCTATATATAATTATCATAAAATGAATAATCTTTGAATTTATTATTTAATATATATATTTTCTAATTTTCTATATATGCTTTTTCTAAGATTTATTTTTCGGTTTTTTATTTTAATTATTTAGTTTTTATTTTTATACTATCTTTAGTTTATACTGCATCTATTATATATTAAGTAAATTCACTCCATTACATATGTTTATCATTATTTATATCTATATCTTAAAATAATTTTATTAAACCATTAACTAAATCGTATTAATCTTCATGTATATGCATTATGGAAGCTTTTATTATTTAGACGAAGTTCTTTAATTCAATTCCGTTAGGAAAAACTTTAAATTGGTCTTCTAAAGAAGCTAATTATTCATTTGATAACAACATCATAATTCTTTTTTTTTTTTTAATTGAATATTATTATTTTTTTTTAAATAAAGTACTTTTCCGATGTAAAATTGTTGTTTTCTTGTTTTAATATATGTTTATTTAGTTATAAATATTCTATTATTTCTTATAGGTTTCTTTTCATTTGTAAAAATTAGTAAATCTAATATATATATGTAAATATATATATATATTCTTTTTATTAAAAAAATAAATAAATAATAAATTTTAAATTTTATTAATAAAATTAAAAATAAAAAAATAAAAATCATTTATTTAAAAAAAAAAAAATATTTATAAACATAATAAAAATAATTTAAATCTTTCAAATAAATCTTTTTTTAAGATTTTCAAATGAATAAATAATCATAAAGGAAAATTCTTTAACTATATTTTTCCCCAAATCGAAATTTTCTAAATGAAGTATTAATTCAATATTTTTTTTAATAACGGCATCAGTTTTTGAAAAAATACCGATTCCTAAACAATCAAAAGAGTTTTTTTTGGCAATAATAAATTTTAAGACTTGTTTTAATTATTTTTCATTTTTAACATTATTAATAATACAATTATAGAGTGTAATTATTTCCAAATCATTAAAAATTCTAGAATCTTTAATAATAAGAAGGCTTTCGTATATTTAAACATAATTAAATTCGCCGAAAATATATTTAAATTTAATTCTTTATTGATTCTCGTATTCTTAAATTTATTAAATAAAATTAGTCTTGGAAAAAATTTAGCTTCTCTTTTAAAAGGAAGCAACTAAATTTTTATCTTCTTTTTAATTATCAATACAATTAGAATTATTAATAAAAAAATTTATACTAGTTTTAGTATAGTTTGTAAATAATTAAGTTATTTCCTATTCGCTTATATTATTTTCTTTGATTCTATTCAAAATTTCTTTGATAAATTCTTTATCTAAATTACTCATTTTAGCATCACCTAGTTTATCGGTTAAATTTTCATTATTTTTTATAGTGCCATCTGTAATATTACAGCATATATCCCACCAACTTTATTTTTATTCAAAAAGCTATTTAAAATATATATGAATATAAATACAAAAAATATAAGTAAATGTATATGTAAATATATATATATATATGATATAAATATAAATATAAATATTATATAAAAAAAAAAATTATATATAAATATATTTACATATATATATATATCCTATTTTCTAATTTACCGGATTAGAAACTGATGTAATATACGAATTTTTATCAAGAAAAGATAAATCAAGTATATTAGAATAAGGTAGAATTTTGTCATATATATTAAGAGGAAATACTATATTTTATAAAGCACAGACTAGATTTATAGATTCTCTTATACTCCTATCATATCCTAAAAATAATATTTTTTGTTCTTTAATTAATGAGTTCCATATATACATTATTTTATGTTAAAAAAGTTTAATTAAATTAATTACAGAGACTTAAGTGTAGTTCCTATAAACAGTATTATTTAAACTTATTTGATATGAAAACTAATTACATAGTTTTATATTAATTATCTTTTCTTATAAATTCTATTAATTTCTATTTGTTAAATTTATTTGTTCGACTAAATTTTAATTAGAAATTCTTAAAAAAGATACAGGAATTTAAACGTTTTAATTAATTTATTTATATATTTCTTCCAAAAATCTTTCAGTAGGTTAAATATCATCTTCTATAGGAAATTATATATATATATCAATATAATATCTTAATGCGGGTTCTAAATAATATAAAATTTAATTTTAAGAAGAACAAACTCCTAAACATCTTGTAAGAAGTCCTCTTTTAAAATTTGAGTCTTTTTTATTTCTTATTACAGTATAGAATATATATTATTATTCAATTTATATTTTTTCGGGATTTCTTTTATTTTTTCATCGAAAAATTACACTAATAATTATTTTAATTCTATACTTTTTTCACAAAAATTTATTCCATAAGACTCTCCTTCGTTAATTGTATAAAAACAAAAAAAATCTTCTTTTAATTCCTTATATTACATATCTTTATGTATTTAAAAAGCTTAAAAAGCCTCACTTTAAATATCTTCGAGTTCATCCAAATTCTCAAAAATAATACTTAGACCATCCTAAGATATTTTTAATGTAGTATAAGTTTATTTTTAAATCCAAATTTAATTCTAAACGTCGAATTTATACAAATTAACAAATTGATTTTGGGAAAAGGAATTTATTTATTATATAAAATTATATGTACTTTTGTCTATATATTATATTAGTTTAAATTTGAAAACCGAAATGTCTAATTAATTTTTTTATACACCATCAGGAATCATATAAGAGGCTAATACTATTTCGTCGAAATTATAATTTTAAGGAAAATGGGATTTTATTACACATCCTTTTTATAAATCGAATTCTCCAGAAAAAATTGAATTTATCATTCGAAATATTATATTATATTTAAAAATAAATTAAATTTTTTGGGAAATTAAGATTAAATATAAATATTATTTTTGTTAAAATATTATTCTTTATGTTAATATTTATTTTTATATATTTAATATATTTAATCTATGATTTTAAATAGAACTAATATATTTTAATATTGATATTATTTTAAAATATAATATATTAATACATATATATATATATATATATATATTTATATATTTATATCTATATATTAATTTAAATATAATTAATATTTTTGAGAACATTAATTTTTTTTTTCAAATAAATTTATATTATGAAATATTATAATACTTTGACTCATTAAGAGATGATAATAAATAAACCTTAATAAAATAATATTTCAAATAAAACTAAAAATGGCAATGATTTATTAGAAATTGAACTTTTGAAGTAAATATTATTTTTTTTTAAAAAAAAATATATTGAAGGAGAGATATGTATAAAAATTAAAATGAAAAAGAATAAAAAATTAATTAAGAATTAGAAGAGAAAAAAAAGGAATTATATTTAATATAATAATATAATTAAAACACATTATAATAAATAAATTAAAAAAAAGAATAAAAATATACTATTTAATAAAAGATTGCGGCTACATATGATTAATAAATTGATTAAGCTTAATAATTAAAATCTTAAAATGTTAAAAAAAATATAAATATATGTATATAATATATATTTATATAAATTCATATATATATTTTTATTCTAAAATATATTATTTATATTTTTATAAAGAAACAAGAAGATATAAAATTTGATATTATAAATTTAAGATTATATGAAAAATAAAATAATGACTATATTCCTCAAAAATAGAATATTTAACAATAAATAGATTAATTTTATAACAAAATTAATCATAATTAACATTTATCTCCACGAAGTAAAGTAAAATTTATTAACAAAATAAAATAATAATAATAATAAAATAAATAAGTAATATTTAGAAATATTTGATAAAAAATAAGAATTTTTTGAATAATAATTCGTTCCTTTTGACCATGATATATAGAAAAAAAAGATGATTGTATTGCCACTTTTGAATAATATAATTCTCCTTTATAAAAAGGAGAAGTAGTTGATATTTTTGGAAATTAAAAAAAAAAGTATATGAAAAATTAAATAACTAATGTTGACAAAGAATTAAAAAAAATCGAATAAAATAAATATAAAGAATTACTTGATTAATAAAATAATTATAATGAAAAAGAAAAATATACTGATAATTAAAATTTCTATGGAGATAAAAAACATAAAAACGTATATATATAAATATGTATATAAATTTAGATTATATAAAAATAAAAAAGGTTGAAAAATTAGATGTTATACGAAATAATTAAAATAATTAAATTCATAATCCAATAACTAATCCAATTGATAGAAAAACTTAAAATAAATACATTGCTAAAGAAATATAAATGACATTTAATTAATAAATAAAATTAAAAAATTAATGAATATTTATTTAAAAATAAAAATAAAATATTATCATTTTATTATAGTTTTTTTATCATATTTTTTTTTTAACCTCTTTTATTAAAATCTATAGTATCTATAAATAACGTGTTTAAAATTATAATTCGGAAAATAATTTAAAAAATTTTAAATAAAATCAAGTTTCCACATAAATATATCATTAGATCTATTTTATTAAGATTAAATTGTTTCAAAATCTTAAAATTAATTATAAGTTTTTAAGTAATATTCAGTAAATTAATTATAATAATCATATTTTTATTAAATCTATTAATATATAAATAAATATAAATATATATAAAAAAATATTTATATATATATATATATATATATATATTATATTTTAATATATAATTTTTATTATATTTTACACTATCTATTTTCTTTAATGACATATTATAAATAAAAGATTAATTTTTTTCATCTAATTATAATGATTTCGTTTTATTTTATTTCTATTCAGTTTTAATATATTTAATATTCGAAATACTTTTATAAGTATTTATATAATTTTTTTTTTATATATATTTCTTTTAAATAAAGTCAGTTTATATTTAATTTATTTTTTTTTCTCTAAATTTTCTTCTTTAAAAAAATTTTCTTTCTTAAACATAATTATTCTAAAAATTATTTTTATAAATAAATTTTTAATTTGTGTTTTTTTCTGTATAGACAATTGGACATTATTAATATAAATGGTATTTGCTATTACATAAATAACATTTTAAAATGTCGGAAATATCGTCGTATGATTTATTAAATAAAATTTTATCTTTTATCATATTAAATTTTTAGAAGTCCTATTAGTTTTCCTTTAGTATTTCAATAAATTAATTTCTATTAATTTTAACCAATGTAGTAAACTAATTACTTTATATATATAAATCATCTTAATGAAATCCTGTAAAAAATTAATAAACTCCAAAACATTAACCTTCTTTTAACTTTGTGACTTCTTTTTTTAATATCTTATTTATTTTATATAAAGGTTAATTTAATTAATTTTCTCTATAAAAATAAATATGAAACAATTAATTATAAATTTTTTAAATACTAAAAATATAATTCATTTTGCTCGATTTCCTGCTCTGTTCTATTTTCTTAATATAGCAAAACTAAAAATATTATATATATATATATATATATATATATATATATATATATATATTTTTATTTATTATATATTATATATACTTGAACCAGTAATAATAAGATAAATACTATCTTTATCAAAATAATTAATTTTATTACTATAAATAATCTATTATGGGGAATAAATACTTTCTTACATAATACTATACATTTTCTAAATTGTTTATTCTGAAAAAATTTTTTAGAATTACTTAAATTTTTCTAATATTTTTTTATTAGACTAAATATTTAACTCACTTTACATATAAGGACTTAATTTTTGTAAAGTTTCTTTTTCAATATGTAGTTTATCTTTGAGTTATTTCTCATAATATTTCTATAAATTTAAATTTGCCCTCCTTCTTAAATTTAAGTCTATATTTTTCCTCTTCATATATTAATTAAGTACATTTAAATCCTTCTTATAGTCTTTTTTAGATTTATTTATCTCCTATAGCACCTAACTTATGGAATTCATCATATACCCAAATACTATACAGTACAATAGAGTACAAAAACTCGTAAAACCAAACTCTATAGATGTCTAAGGTTTTTCTCCATACTTCATCATAGTATTAACTGCCCAAAAGCAGGCTTCTAAGTAGGTTTTTTGCCAATGCCCATCTATAATTAGGCTTCTATCAATCCAAGTAATGTCTGAATTTAATATATGTTTCTCATATTACGCTAAAATATACCAGCAACAGGCTAAAATATGTACTAAAACTAGTACTTAGGCAAAAAGTTTAATTAATTGCATTAATGAATGGTATTCTAAGAGTTAAAGTAGGTAGAATTCCATCTTTTTTAGGATAATCATCATTCCTTTAATTTTAAGTAAAAGAGGTATATGTAATAGTACATTTATTAGTGTATCTTGATGGGTTCTGCCCTCAAAAATTAAAGGGAGAATTTCGAAAAAAAAATATTCTTAGAGGTATATTTTAAAGATTTATTTTCTATCAGTTATAAAGTGGTTTCCGTGATAAGTTGCAGTATTCATCTATAATATCATTTCTGTAATCCATGCAAAAGTGGCTATTTGTGCAAAAGTTTTATTAAAATGTATATTAAAAATCACTTCGATAGATATTATCCATAGATATATGCAATTGTAAGCAACTATGAGTGAATTTAGGAAAATTTTTAACCTGTTTTCGGGATCTATGAGAGGAATTTAGTTAATAAGGTTCATTAGTTTATTTAAATATTGACTAAAAGTATAGTTAAGGGTATTACGCTTGTTTATAGTTAAAGTACCAAGTACAGATTTATCGGAAATATAGATAATTTGTTTAGACGAAAGAAATTAAAGGCGACCAGAAATAGTTTTACTTTGAAAAAAATGCTTTATGTTTGGACGGATTAAAGTTATTAATTGTAGCTTATTTTTCAAAGAAAAATTATTAGGTATTTTACTATATTTTTATTTTATATTAAAATAAGTATTATATTATATATATTTTTGTTTAATTTTTCTGTAATATTTTTTTACACAAAAAAATTAACAATCAAAGTAATGATAAGAAAAAATATAAAAAAATAGCATTAGTTTTACTAAATGTATATTATTATATAAATGATAATATAAATAAAGTTATTTAAATATATTTTCTAATTATTTTATTTTTTAATTATTATTTTAATATAAATATTTTTTAATGTTACTCTTTTGTAGTTTCTTTATTGGTTATTTAAATTTTATGATTATATTTATTATTCTTTTTTAATATTTATTAATTTGAAAGAATTTATTTAGAAAATTATAAATCATTAATTTTTTTTTACTCAAAATAATTTATTTCGTTCTAATCTTTTTAATATTATAATTTATATTAGTTTTAATGGATATCATGGTCACTTAAAATAGATTAATTTTATCTTTTATTAATTTCTTAAAAATCTTAGATTTAAAAAATCTGTTATTTTAATTTGCAAAAAGATTAACTTTAAACATTCATTTTATATATATTTGCTTAGTTATTTTTTATTGTTAAAAATTTTAAAAATTATTAATTAATTAATATTAAATAAATAAACATATTATAAATATATATTATAATATAGTTAAAATAAATAGAAAATATTAATATATTTATTTAATTTTTATAAAAAAAGTATCTATTAAATATAAAAAAATGGATGAAAAAAAAATAGAATATTTGGATCCAGAATAAAAAAAATAATAATAAAAAACTGACAAATAATAATAAAAAAAATAAAAAATAAAAGAAAACTAAAAAAGAAAATAAAATATAGAAGATATAGGACCTACTGTGGCTAATGCCTAAAACAGTATATAAATATATATATATATTTATATATTTATATATTTATATATTTATATATTTATATATTTATATATTTATATTTTTTACATATTAATATCATTTATATTCTAGATTTTAAAGATATAATATTAGAAAATATTCCTTCTAGTGAATACTATGAAAGAAGTTTAATGCATCGTGATACAATTAATTAAAGTACATAAATTAATTTAAAATATATAAATATTTATATTTAAATATAGTTTTTGCTGCCCCAAAAAACGATATAATTATAACTATATCTATAGATGGCCAGATTAAATTTTGGAAAAAAATATTTTAATTAATTGAGCCTATTAAGCATTTCAGATGTCATAAAGGAGTAGTTACTGGAGCTGCGATTTCTTTGAATTAAGATAAATTAGTAACTGTATGTGCAACGGATAAAACATTAAAAAAATTTGATCTTCTAAATGCTGATTTAAATTCTTTATTAAAATTTGATTTCACCCCTTCTATGTGTTCTTATATATAAGCTTCCGATGGAGCATAATCTGAATATTTACTTGTGTATATAATTTTATATTTATTTATAATTATTTATTTTTAAGATCAGACAATGATAATGGTAATATATATATAGTTGATGAAGAATAATAAAGTAAAGAAAAACAGATAATAAAGACAATATAAATACATAATAACCCCGTCAAGTTTATTTTATATAATAAATAATATAAATCTTGTGTCAGCATTGATAAAAAAGGTTTCATTGAATTATGGGATCCTGATAATTATGATTTCCCAAAAAATAAAGAATTAAAATTTACTTGTAAAATGGACACTGACTATTTCGAATTGTTAAAAAAGAAAGTTTTTGCATTTGGTGCATGCTTATCCAATAATGGAAAGTATATGGCTTTAGTTTGTAGTGATAAATTTATTAGAATCTTTGATTTTTTAAGTGGAAAATTAATTAGAATTATAGATGAAAGTGATAAAAAAAATTCAGAAATATAAGATAATATAGAACATGAATAACATAAAATGTATAAATTAGATAAATTCGAATATAGTAGAAGAATGGCAATAGAAAGAGATTTGGATAAATTTTTAGAAAGTATATTTATAATAAATATATAAATATTTTAATTAATCTTTTTTATTTTGTTTTTAAATGAAAAGGTAAAACAATGGAAAATTATGGAGTTTCTATATAATTTGATGAAAACGATTAAATTTTAGTATATCCATCAATATTAGGGATAAAATATTACTCAATTGTATAAAATTAGATATTATTTGTATAAGGAAAAAATGAATCAAGCGAAAGATTTTTAAAATTTGTACTTTATTAAGGAAGATTAATGAAAAATTCAAATAATACAGGTAAGATAAATAATACATATATAAAATGTATTATAAAATTATATATATATATTTAAATATATATATATATATATATATATATATATAAATTAATAGGAGGTTCACAAAAAATGTAATCTGATCCATTATTAATAGCTTCTTCATTTAAAAAAAATCGTTTTTATTTATTTTCAACACGAGAACCTGAGGATCAAAGTGATAAACAAATATAAAGAGATATATTTAACGAAAAACCTTCAAAAGAAGAATAATAAATAGTTGTTTAATTATAGTCTCAATAATAAAAACAAGTAATCTTTAAAAAAAATATTTTTTCATATATATTTGAATAATAATTACAAAATTATATATAAATTATTAATTTCTATATATATATATATATATATATATATATATATATTATATATATATATATATTTAAAAAGTTATAAACATGTATATTTGCAAAGATAGAAACTACAATGGGTGATATTGAAATTGAATTATATAAAAAATTTGTTCCTAAAACTGTCGATAATTTCTTAGGACTTTCTAAACAAGGATACTATAATAATTTAATTTTTCATAGAGTTATCCCTAATTTTATGATATAAACTGGATGTCCTAAAGGAGATGGAACAGGTGGAGAGTCTATATGGGGAGGAGAATTTGAAGATGAATTTCATCCTAAATTAAAACATGATAAAATTGGAACAGTTTCAATGGCTAATGCTGGACCAAACACTAATGGCTCTTAGTTTTTTATAACAACTGCTGTGTGTGAATGGCTTGATAATAAAGTTATATATACATTAATATTTTTTATATTATTTTTTATAGCATACTGTTTTTGGAAGAGTTATTAAAGGAATGGATGTTATTTAGAATATTTGTAATTCTAAAAAAGATAAATAAGATAAACCTTTAAGGGATATTAAAATTAGATATATTACTATTTCTTGATATTATTTATTTTTTAATATTTTTTTATATTTCATTATTATAAATGTTAATATTTATATAAATAATTAAAGAATTATTTCGAAATGTCTAAATTATTAATTATATAAAATAAATTAAAATTAAAATAAGTTGATAATTTTATATTTATAATTATAAAATAAACATTAGAAATGACAGATTTTATAAAAAATAATAATAAATATAAAAAATAAAAAAATATTATTAATTAATAATATCTAAACATTGCCTTTAGTTTATCAATAGAACCATTAATATTTATTTTTGATAAATTTAAATGCAAGCAATAACTTAACTAAGCAATATAAATCAAATAAAATTCTATTAAATAATTATATAAAGGATTTACTGCTTCTTTTACTTCTAAATCTATATAATTAATTAGTAGAGAATTTTTTTATAATTCTACTAAAAACTACTTCCATATTGATGTTAAAAAAGTTAGTTTTATAAGATTTTACTGTTCATTGATTTTTGCTGAAGTTGGATCATCTATTCTATCAGGATTTTTCGAAATAACAAAAATATATAATATTCTTAATAACGAAAAAGTAATATAATTAATATAAATATATATATATATATATATATATATATATTATAAATATTAAAATAAATATGTAAAATAAATTTTATATATTATTATTTATATTAAGAGTATCTCTTTAAAAAATGCTTATTATTTTACTTCTAGTTAAAATTCATAAGGAACAATGGCAATGAATATTAATATTTTAAGAAATTAAATACTAAGATTTTCTGAATTATCAGTTTATTTAGTAGTACAATAATATTTTAAAAAAAAAGAAAAAAAAAATTAAATTTTAATTAATTTAACATGTTCTTTTATTTCTTCCTTTTTTAGTACTTTAATTATTAGTCCGTTAGACTATATAAGAACTATTTGTTCTATATAATAATTTGATAAAAAATAATTGTTATAATTAAAGATTTAATATAGAGGATCTATTCCTCTATTTTTTGGAATTTTCGTTAATAATTTATTGTTTATTTAATATTTTATGTAAGATTATTGAAATTTTTATTTTAATATATAAATAAAAAAATACATTATTTAAATATATATTTTAATATATTTTCATTAATTTTTTTTTTTTTTTTCTAATGAAAAACAATAAATACCTAAATGATTAGAAATTTATTATGCAATGTTTCTACTAAATATCAAAACTTAAAGTAAAATTGGAATAGAGAGAAAAACTACAAATGAAAAAAAAATTATATCTGTACTTACTTTATTGTTTAAAAATGAAAGCATCTAACATATAAAGAATAAATATATAATTTCAAAATGTACAAGAGAAAACTACATCTATTAATAAAATATAAATAAATATAAATATAGATTTATATATATTTATATATATAAATAAATATAAATATATATAAATATATATATATATTAAAATATCTAAATATATATATAAAGTAAATTATTTTTATATTAATTTATATATCAATATATATATTTTTTTATTTTATTTTTCAATTACTTTTGTTAATGAACATATAATCAATTTATTTGTAATTAAACTACAAACCAATCCAAAGGTAATTAATATCACACTTGAATATTCTTTATATAATTCACCATTTTTAAATTCTTTTAAAAACATATATTCTATAAAAAATAAAAATAATATCGGTATCCATTATAATACTGCTTCAATTTTCCTTTTAGTTTTACTTCTTAATAATGTATTTATTATACAAGTTATTGATATTGTAATGCTTACTCCTAGTATAAAATAAACTAAAGGCACATAAATTTTTATATTCGCATAGTTTTTTAAATCCCATATATTTACAAATGTTTAAGGCAATAAATCTCCAATTAGAACACTCCAAAATTTTTATCCTTTTAAAAAAGTTAAAAAATGCACAATAATAACAATTAATTATCCTTCTGTAACTCCTAAATTCCCAAATTAAGTTTCCAAAACTTGGGTATGATATTCATTCCAATTAGAAGTAAAAATAGTAAGTTATAAAGTTAACAACAGATAAAAAACCTTTTTTTTTTTTCTTTTATAATTGAAAAATATTTAAAATTAAATACATTTTATGAATCAATACTTGCTGCCTAAGCAGATCCCAAAATAAAAAAAGGAACCGAAAAACAATCACAGCCATGATCAAATAATTAACCTAAAGGAGATGAAGGATTAGTTCTACGAGCTTATTTTCCATCCAAAGCATCTAATGTTTAGTATATAAATACTGAAATTGAAGCGAATAAGAATACCCAAGATGGTAATTCTTTTTACATAGATAAGTCAAAGAACATCATAAGAATATATTAAGATATTATGAATAAAAATCCTATAAATGTTACCATATTAGGTGCTAATGTCTATTTTTTTATTTTTTAAGTTTATATATACAAGATTATATTTTTTATACACGTGGGAGAAATTCAGATAAGGAAATCCAGAAAGGATTTATTTTATTATCAAGATAAGAATAGGCACCTCCTACATATTTATATTTTTCAAGTTATTTTAATCCTTATTTAGTAATTATAAATGACATTTTTTGTTTTGTTTTTTTAGTCGTTTTTTTTTTTTTTTTAGAATTTAATTTTTTTTTATTATTATTATTAATTATGGAAATAAATAAAAATTTTTATATATTATATAAGATATTTATTAGATAATTTTTTTTCTATATTATATATTCAAATTAATTATTCTTTTGTAAATATAAAAAATGAATTTTCTATATATTTTTATTTTATAAATATAATTAAATAGAAAAATATATATATATATATATATTATGTGTTGTTTTGCTATTTTAACTATATTTAGTAAATTTAGTTTATTTAATTAACTAATATCATATTTTTATATTTAGTTTTTATATAATTTATTAATAAATTATTAATAATATATTTGTTGCTTTAATATTTATTTTAGATATGATAATATTTTAAATAGATTATAAATTGAGGATAATGTCATAATATTTATATTCGCATCTTTTTTTAATTGTTTATATTCACTTTTATAATATGAACTTAATATTATATATTCAAAAATTTTATTTAATTTTGGCGTTCAAAATATTTGGCTATACCTATATAATATTAATTATAATAAAAATAATTATAAAAATTAATATCTTTTTTATAGATATATAAATATAATATTTTTTAATAAGAATATAACTATAAGCCTTTGTATTGTACATAATTATTTATATTTATTAAAAAGATGCTTATATAGAATATTTTTAATAATAACAAAGTGGTTTTTAGCATATAATATATAATTATATTCATATAAAAAATATATTTTATTATTAAATTTTAAAATATTTAGTTATTATTTTGTTATATATAAATTATTTTTTCTAATTTTTTGTTTTTTTTTAAAATAAAAATTAAAAAAATAAATTATTAATAGATATTTTTACTATT